AATAGGAGAGTGCTTTAAGTCCTTTTTTTTAATTATTTTTTTTTATTGAGCCAGTAAAAGGCTTTCTGGGAGGGAGGCAGAAAGAGGGGTGGCCCGGCAGCCACCAAGCTGAAGGGTCTGGCAAGGAGGTTAGGCTGCCCCAGGCCCCTCAAGTCTCCCTGCAGTAAACATGGGTTCTCTGGTTGGGGGGCCTGTCCTGTTGTACCTGCTGCACTCCTATTCAGCTGCTGAACTCCTATTCAGTCTTTGGACCCCAAGTTCATTGCCCCTCTCTACTGGGCCGTCTCCTACCAAACTGGGCATCCTTAAGAGCGTAGCCAAGATCTGAGTCCGTGTTTAGCATAGTCGCCCCAACTCAGAGAGAGCCCCGAGAAGGCCAGGAGTAGGAATGCTGCCCCAAGGCAGCTTGGCATTGGGGCCTGGGGAAGATTTGGCCCCAGAGGAAGGCAGACCTCCAGAGTAAGCAGTCTGTGCCCTCCAGGTTAAGTTCCCTCCAAGCCCAGCAGCCCCTGGGGCTCTCATCAAGGGGGGGGGGTGCCCAGACTCCCTTCCCTGCACGGAGGCTGCGGTCCTCTCCTGCCAGGAGCTACCACACACTTGCAGAAAATCAGTGGGTGTTCCGCCAACGTGCCCTTCTGATCCCCGGCTGCCATCGACACCAGGGGGGTGGCAGTTCACTGCCTGTGCCCTTCCCCTCCAGGACCAGAATGGGGGCAGCCCTGGAGGACAGGGCCTGGCACACAGCAGTATCTGCACAGAGCAGGCTGTGCCGCTGCCCCGGGCAGTCTGCAGAGGTGGGCACAGGTGAGAGAGCCGTGCACAAGCTCGCCTGGCAGACTGTGCTAGGCACGTGGTGAGCAGGGGAGGCTCAGGGTGCTGGCCGGGCAGCCCCGGCATGGTGGGCAGCGGAACGGGACTGGGGCTGTTCAATGCCAGATGGGGAGGGGAAGCAGGGGGTGAGTGGGTGGGTGGCCATGGAGGTGGGAGCAGAGGGGAGCCTGAACACTGCAAGAGGAACCTCGGGGAACCCGTGGGAAGAGCATGCTCTGTCTAGGCAGTCAGGTGCCCCATGCAGGTCAAGGGTGAAGGCCAGGTGGGCCAGCAGGGGGAGGGCCCAGGTGGCAGATGGGAGGGCAGAGGAAGGGGCCTGGGCCCACCTGTCTTCCAGCCCCATGTGGGTGCCAGGCCCCTACCAGTCCCAGCCTGGTCCCTATCACAGTCCCCTTCCCACCACCTCCACCTTGTTCCAATCACATTAACGGAGCGGCAGCCCCAGCGAGCACTCGCAGCGCCTCCATAAATCTCAGCCGGCGTTAAAAGGCTGGACTGCAGGCCCACTTCCTCCAGGGTCGCGGCCCGCCCCATCCATCTCTGCGTCGGCGGGGCCATCCACAGGGCCTGCTCCAGCCTCGCCTCAGCCCCAAAGCCTGAAGGCGAGCTAAAAGGACCTCCTGTGCCTCGAGTCGGACTAGAGCAGGTGCCCTTCGGCTTGGCAGTGAGGTCAGTGGGCTGTCTACATGCCCTCCTGGCTCTGCTCACACCCTCATGGCTGCCGCTTGCTGCCCTTGGGGCAGGTCCTGCACTTACTGTGTGAGACTGTCCCCACCATTACCTGGACGTCACTCATTCAGACAATGACATTACTGAGCACCAGCTGCATGTGCCCGGCCCAGTTCTGGGTGTTGAGGTGCAGCCTTTCATTCGTGGCGGGGAGAAGACAGTGAATGTAATAAAATGACACGGGGTATTAAGAGAACAGTGCTCTGAGAAAAAGAAAAACTGAGACAGAGCAAGGCGTGGGGTAAGTGGTTACCATTTCATCTGGGATCAGGGAGGGCCCCCCTAAAAATGGCATTTGGTGAAGTAGCCACAGGGGTGCCAGGAGGAAGAAGAGCATTCTGGCAGAGGGAACGGGGTTGGGGGGAAGGCCCTGACGCAGGAGTGGGCCTGGCCTGTCCACCAACCACAGGGAGGCAGCGTGGCTGTAGTGGAGTCAAACTGAGAGGTGGGAAACCTCGTGGGCCTTTGCTCTGAGTGAAGTGGAAGCCTGGCAGGGTTTGGAGCAGAAGAGTGTCCAGCTGTTTTTAAATTTTTAAAAAATAATTATTTATTTAATTTTATTTATCATTATTATTATTACTTTTAAATCTGCTACAGGGCACGTATGCTCACCAGAGAGGAAAAGTGAGAAAGCAAGTCGCCAGGTCTAGGACTTGAACCGTGGTCGGCCACGTGGGAGTCCAGTACCTTAACCGCCACGCCGCCTGCTGGCCCTGGTGATGAGCTGTTTTAGGATTAAAATGCCCACGCCTTTTCTGCTCCTTGTCTCCCCAGACTGAATGGCTAAAGATCCAGCTGTGTGCCTCCTGAAATGCTCCACACTCTCCAGTCCAGGTCTCTGCCCGTGCTGGTCCCTCTGGTCCCTCTCCCAGGGACACCCTTCCCACGTCTCTGCACCAGGCTCAGTCCTGCCCATCTGTTCTGGTCTGTTCTGGTGCTATCATAAGACGAATAAATGAGCTGGGATCATTTAAGAGAATAGAGGTTTCTTCAGTTCATGGATGGAGGGTCCACGGCCCAGCAGCCGCATCTGGTGGAGGTCTTTCCGTTGCTTTAAATTTTGCCATAGGGCAGGCGCATGTGCCCGCCAGCGAGAAACCAAGAATGAAAGAGGAGAAGCAAGAAAGCACCTCCCACGGGAGACAGCCACACGCAATCCCCCCTCCTCCATTCTGCCCTTGGGATCCCGGGCATGCACACATATGAGCCTGGCATGTCCATCAAGCTGCTGGTTCTGGGACTCGAACCGCACAGCCAGCCCGTGGGATCCAGCTGCCTCAACCACCACGGCACCAGCTGGCCCGGCGACGGCCCTCTTGTCGGTGGTCCACCTGGCAGAGGGCAGAGAAACGTCGCGAGCAGAGCGTGTCCGCCTTCCCCTCCTTAAACCCACCAGGACTCAATCCTGGGGCCCCATCCTCAGGCCTAATCACTTCCCAAAGGCCCACCTTTCAACAACTTAACCAGACCAACCCTCCGTCCACACGGATGCTGCCACAATGGCGCACCGCATCTTAACACGGGACTCTGGCTCTAAGCACAGCACCATCCCTAGGGTGCTAGTGGGGGTGCCACTTCCTTCCAGAAGCCTTTCCTTTTTATTATTATTATTATTATCTATATATATTTAGTTTTTGCTATAGGGCACGTGTGCTCATCAGAGAGACAGAAAGACAAAGAGAGAGAGAGAAAGTGAGAAACCCCCCCAGGAGCATGACCACGCAGCAGCCCTTCTCTTCCGGTCTCCTCGCAGGAGCCATGTGCGCCCATGTGTTTTTCAAGCTGCGGGGTCTGGGATTCAACCACGCAGCCAGCCCTGTGGGATCCAGCTGCCTTAACCTCCATGCCACCTGCTGGCTCCAGAAGCCTTCTTGATGCCCAGGTGGAGATAGCTGCCCCTCACTGAGCTCCCGCGTGCCTGTGACCCGCACTCCCAGTGTAGGTCGCCCTTATGTAATGGATGCTCTCTGCACTGCGAGCTTGGACGCGGGGCCTGGCCATCTGCGCCCGGCAGTGTCTGTCCGATGCCCAGCTCAGAACTGGTACTTGGTAGGCACTTGGTCATTGGATAAGGAGCGACTGGACCAAGGAGGGTGGAGCATGGCAGCTGTCAGATCAGCCAGGGCCCCAAGTCCTCTGCAGGACAGGCTTCGGGGGAGAGTCCGAGAGGGACCTGGCTGAGGGCCCATCATCCCAGTGAAGCCCCCTTATTCCGTCAGGCCCTCGGATAGCTGTGACCTCCATGGGGACAGCTGGAGGAGAAAAGGGGGTGGAGGGAAAACATCCCAGCCACAAACAGACCCCCACCCTGCATCCTGGCTGGTCCTCGACAGCTCTTAACGCGCTTTTATTTATTCCTGACCTCACTGCCCCTTTTATTTTTCCCCCTTTTAAAACCTGGCCTGGGCCCCGCCACCGCTGCTGTAAACATGGCCCTGGGATTTATCCCACGGCGCATTAACCCCTGGCCCCTGGCTCACCAATCACCCGGCCGCCTGCGCAGGCAGTGGGTGGCTGGGCCAGCTGGGGCAGGGGCTGCTGTGGTCCCGCCTGGGTAGGCTGGCCGGGTGGGCAGGCACTGGGGCACAGGAGGCCCCACCCACCATGGCGCCTGCCGACCTCAGCCTTCACTCCGGGCACCCTGACCTCCTGCCTTCCTGGCCGCGGAACCCAGCTCCATGGTGTCATCAACGATAAGGATGTGTGACCACTCCTGGGGCTGAGCAGCAGACAGAGCTCCCCGACTTTTTTTTTGGAGAGGTTTTCGCTATAGGGCGTGTGCACTCGCCAGACAGACAGAGAGAGAGAGAGAGAGACATAGAGACAGAAAGCGAGAAATCACCCCCCAGGGGGGATGGTCACGCTGCAATCCCTTCTCCTCCATTCTCCTCTCGGGATCTTGGGCACGCACGCACACGCGCCCGGTGTGAGTTTTAAGCCACCGGGTCCAAGAGGCAAACCGTAGTTGACTACGTGGGAGTCCAGCAACACAGCCATTACGCTAACTGCTGGTTCCCAGAGCTCCCCAACTTTGCCAAACCTCGCCCCGGTTGCACATGCCAGGTTCCGGGGCAGGACAAAGACAGTCATTTCACCCTTGTAGGTGCAAACTGAGGCCAGGGGCCAGGGTTCCCTGAGGTCACACGGGCATCAGGGGCAGGGCTTTGGCCCCCAGTGCCAGCTACACACCTGGAGACCTGTGCTCAGAGGGGTGGGGGAGCAGGCCTGTCCCCCAGGGCCACTTTGTCCACAGTGAGGGCAGACGGGCCTGGTAGGAAGGTGGGAGGTAGGAGAGAAGGGCCCAGAAGAGAATGGGGAAGGCAAACTCTGGTCACAGAGGGTTGGGGGACAGGAGGAGAGGTGCAGACACGGCACAGGGGACATTGCCCACCCCTCCTCCACCCTCGCCCTCCCCCCGGCCCACAGGAAGGTCCACTCACCGCCACCGCCTCCCAGCAGAGAACTGTTGGCTGCAAGAAAGAGACAAAGGCAGGTCAGTAGGGACGAGACTGGGTGAGGGCCACTGTGTGCAGGCGGGCACGGGGGATCGTATCCTGGGCCCAGCTCTGGCTCTTCAGACTCAGGGCACAGGGTGTCCCCAGCCCTCTGAGGTGGGGGCAGGTGATGGGAGAGGCTGAGTCTCCTGCTGAGGCCCCTTGTGGGCCTGGGCTCTGTAGAGTGTGTGTGTGTGTGGGGGAGGGCGTCAGGGATGGGGGAACACAGGAGAGTCGCGGGGGCTCCACCCACCCTGGGAGCAGCCACAAGCTCCGCGTCCTCTTTCCCAGGTCTGTCAGAGAACACCGCCCCAGGGGACCAGCAGTTGGCGTAATGGCTATGTTGTTGGACTCCCATGTAGTTGACTGTGGTTTGAGTCCTGGGCCCAGTGGCTTAAACTCACACCAGGCGTCGTGTGTGCATGCATGCCCAAAATCCTGAGAGGAGAATGGAGGAGAAGGGATTGCAGCATGGCCATCTCCCTTGGAGGTGATTTCTCACACAGAATACCTCCCTGGGAGTGAGCCAGGCTGGGGGTGCTGGGGCCCTTGCAGACCAGAGCCACAGGGCAGGTGATATGAGTGGGTGGAGCACTGGACTGGGATCCAGGCCCGCTCAGCGGATGGGGGACTGGAGCCATGGGGCCTGAGCCTCGGCTTCCCCATTTCTAAAAGAGGAAGCTGGGCCCACCTTATAGAGCTGGCCTGAAGGTCAAGGGAGAGGGATCCTCAGCCCCTCCCTGCACTGGGGGTGGCACCGCCACTCTCCTGAGCAGCCTGGCCAGCAGCCCCCTTCCTCCTGAAGCCAAAGTGAAGTCAGCCGCAGCCCTGGGGGCCTGCCCCAGCCTGAGTGGCAGTGTCTGGTCACACAGCCCGCCCAGTGGTCACTGCTGGTGCTAATCAGGGCAAGCGTGGGGGACGACAAGGGCCGCCCTGGCCTGGGACTGCCCTGGTGGGAGGCAGCTGTGCTTAGCCCCTCCCGTGGCTCGGCCTTCCAGGTCCTGCTGCACCCCTATGTAGAAAGGCAGGGACACGGTGCGAAGCCCTGGCCGGCAGCAGCGGTCGTTTCCGGGCTGGGAGGCCGAGACCTGGGTGTTGTGCGGGAGCTGTGGACGCTGCTAAGTGGTGTCGGGCGGCTCCGAGTGGCTGGACTCCCAGAGCTGACAGCTCTTCGCTTGGGGAATAATTAATTCCACAGCCCGAAAACCCAGGGCTGCAAGTTGCCACGTTACTTGCAAGATTAATACAAGCAGCTAATTAAGATGGAGAGGCGAGGAGCGGCTGGGTGCTCCCAGAACGGGTGGGGGCTGTGAGGAAGGCAGGCTGAGCTGGGTGGGTGAGGCAGCCGGAGCTGGAGCCGGAACCAGAGCCGGACCCGGAGCCAGAGCCAGAGTGAGAGCAGGGAAGGTCTAGCTGGGACCTCCAGGTGGACGCAGGGCAGGCTGCTGGTTCCGGCCCCCAAGGACTCGGATGTGGCTTCTGCCCCAGGACACTCATTTCCACTGACCCAGCAAGGACTTTGCACGAATTATCCCATTTATCATCATGGCAAAGCCACAAGAGAGGCTCGGTTGTCCCCATCGTACAGAGAAGAAAGCAGAGGCTCCCAGAGGGGGAGTCACACAGTGGAGATAGCAGTGTTGGAACCTGAGCTAAGCCCCTCATGGGCAGACTGAAGACAGACTGTCATGGGGATTGCTCCCCCTGGCCAGGCCTGGGCCTGCTCTTCTGAGCGGGGCGGCACGTGCCCTAGACCCTCGCAGATGTAGCCTCAAGCCCACTCCCTGCCCCAGCAGATCAGGCTGCAGAGGTGAGGGGTTGGTGCTCTGGAAGACAGGGCATCTCAAGTCGACCCGGGTCTGGCTCCTGGCACCCCCAGCCCTCAGGGCAGCCTTGGCGGCTGTCAGGAGCTGCCCTCCACAGCCCTTCCCCACCTCCCCCATCACCTCTCTCTCTTAATTAACACCGGCTGCAAACGAGCTGGCTCCCGCTCAAAGGGGGCACAGTGCCAAATGGGTTGGCAGTGAGCCCTGACGGGGCAGGAGGAGGGGGTGCTGACCTGCCCTTCTGCAAGCCCCTTCAGAAGGCAATGCCAGGCCCCCGCCCCCTGGCATCCCCAGGACCCACCATGTGTGGCCCTGCCCAGGCGAGGCAAGTGGGGCCAGCTGGCTCAGTGCCCACCAGCCAGAGTCTGAGGAAGAGGTGAGTCTGGCCCATGGGGACTGTCCCAGGCTGCACTGGGGGCGGCAGGTCAGGTGGCAGGATCTGCCACAGGTAGAAAGGCCAGGCAGGCTTGGCGCTCGCCGGCAGCTAAGACGGACTGCACAGAGGGTTGACCGTGGGCCTGTGCCCGTGCAGTGGGCAGCCTGGGGGCCAGTCTGCTGTGCCCACCCAGCCTGCCATGCCCCACAGGGCCACTGGGGGGGCTCCGGGATAAGGCTGCTGACCTAGTGGCCTGGACAGCTCCTCTGCTCATCCTTCCCCGGGGCCCTGAACTAGCCTCTCCCCAGGGGCCTCCCACCTCACCACATGGTGTCCCCAGAAGGCTCTCCCAGAGCACCCCAAATGGGCAGGCTGCCCATGGGGAAAGGCCTGGAGGCTTGGGGAGAACAACCTAGAAAGGCACGGCGGGTCCCAGCGTGCGTCTGTGGGCAGGCTGCCCGGCCTCCCACCCTGAAATGGAGTAGCTCTGGGCCTCCCTGTGTCCCAGACACTGAGGCCTCGCCTAGGCCTTCTCACCGCACCTAGCCCCCCAGTACTCACTGAGCATCCAGGCCCTCCACCTTCTGAAAAGCTAACTACTTCGTTATAATTGATGATTTACATGTACTCATGTACATCTTTGTAGGGTGCAGTATGGGGTTTTCTGTTTGTTTTTAGGTTTTTGCCATAGGGTGCGTGCACTTCCCAGGAAGAGAGAGGGAGAAAGAAAGTGAGAACCCCCCCCCCGCGAGGGGGAATGGCCATACCAAAATCCCTTCTCCATTCTTGAAGGATTCTGGGTACGCACGCACACGCACACGCACACGCACCTGCCATGATTCCCAAGCCGCCAGGCCCAGAACACAAACGGCAGTGAGCCATGTGGGAATCCAGCACGTTAACTCCACACCACCTGCCGCCCCGGGATCTTCGACCTTTGGCTGCCTTCCTGCTGTGCTCTTCTAGGTTGGGCTTGAGGCTGAAAGTGGCAATGGTCGCTAGCCCACTTTCCTCAGGAGGCACACAGGCACCCGGGAGTGAAGAACAGGGAGCTCAACCCCAGGAGCCTGGCTGTCAGAGCGCACTTTCTAGCCCCCACCCTGCGTGCTCCTCTTGTCAGAAAGGGTTCCTGGGCAGCCAGTTGGAGGGTGGCGTGGTGGGTAAGGGGCTGGACCTCATATGGCCAACTGCATGGTTTGAGTGCCATAGCCAGTGGCTTGAGAAACAGGCCAGGCACATGTGTGTGCATGCCCAGAATCCAGAAAGGAGAAATGGAGAAAGGACTGTGGCGATGCCACCCCCAGGGGGACGCTTTATCACCACCGCACCCCTGTGAGCACACAAGCCCTCTAGCAGCAATCATACATACGTACGTATAGGCGTGCCTACGCACATAAAGGCTCCCCAGTTCCTTCTTGGGAGGGTGTAGTAATGGGGGAGGGGCTGAGTGAGGCGGGAGAGGAACACTGGATTTGGCGTTCACGCTAGGGCTTCTGACCCGACTCCCCCCAAGGGACCTGGATCCTTCCGGAGTCTTTGAACTCTGTGAGGGACTGAGTGAGCCCAAGCCGGCCCTGGGGGAGGGTGCAGGTTCTGGCCAGCGCGCACCTGGGCGCCATGGGGCACCTGGGCCATAGCAGCTCTGGGAGTCGTCCCCACTGTGGGCTGCTGTGGCCCAGCCCTGCTGCAACCCCCCTGCCGGGGACGTGCCTGCATCACGCTCCGCTGGACTTGATTACCTGGCTCCCAGCCCAGTGCTGCGCCTGTGACCTTGGGGTGGCACCCCTAGATGCCAGTCACTGCCAAGTCCTCTGTCCCATGAGGACAGCCACCGGAGCTGGGGTCCTGGAGCCCTCAACCCTACTCACACGCTGCTGTTCACACAGTGTACCCCCTAAACCTCACTTCTCCTCTGCCCCCTCTGGACATCTCTGGGGAGGGGAGACCCAGGCACCCTCCCCTGCCCCCAGCACTCTCTGTCCTGGGGGGCAGGCTGCTCACTCCCCAGTTCGTGCCCCAGCTCCCGACCTAGTTAGGGGCTGGCAGGTGGCCACTGCCCAGTGAGAGAGAGGAGCCGGGTGAGTGCTGGCTGGCGCC